ACCTGGAATGGAACGATCCTCATGCTCGACTGTAAGACTGGCGGTCGACTGAGGTCTGACCAACGAATGGTCAAAGATTTGAGACTATGGGGTCACCTCTTCAGAGAATATATCATGAAAACATTCAAATGAACGTAACAAATTTTGAGTGAAAGATCCTTAAATGTTGGTGAGGGTACTGAAATACCTCTGAGCAGATCAAACATTAACCATGAATACAGGTGTTTCTTCTACATGTCAAAACAAACAGCTGATCATCAAAGGCCTCTCCAACACTAAACATCTCTTTTGCTGTTTCTTTAGCTGGAGCAGACTCCCGGTTTGGACACACCCATTTTCCTGCCCACAGACCCGCCCCTCACTTGGCTGCTGGCCAAGATGTGGGTGCGTCACTCTGAGTTCCAGGTGTTCCAGCTGCTGTCTCACCTGCTCAGGACTCACCTGGTCATAGAGGTGTTCTGTGTGGCAACTCTACGACAGCTGCCTGCTGTGCACCCTGTTTACAAGGTGATCATACTCACAGTGATCATACACACAGTGATCATAGGCACAGTGATCATACACACACAGTGATCATACACACACAGTGATCGTACACACACAGTGATCGTACACACACAGTGATCGTACACACACAGTGATCATACACACAGTGATCATACACACAGTGATCATAGGCACAGTGATCATACTCACAGTGATCATACACACACAGTGATCATACGCACAGTGATCATATACACACAGTGATCATACACACAGTGATCATACACACACAGTGATCATACTCACAGTGATCATACACACAGTGATCATACTCACAGTGATCATACACACACAGTGATCATACACACACAGTGATCATACTCACAGTGATCATACACACACAGTGATCATACACACACAGTGATCATACTCACAGTGATCATACGCACAGTGATCATACTCACAGTGATCATACGCACAGTGATCATACACACACAGTGATCATACGCACAGTGATCATACGCACAGTGATCATACGCACAGTGATCATGCGCACAGTGATCATGCACACAGTGATCATACACACAGTGATCTTTATTCTCATAAATCAACTCTTTTACTTTTGTTATAATGACTGAAGACTTTCTCTGTAATATTGTGATTCTTGTCTTGAACCTCAGAATTAGTTTTTGTCTCCCAGTAGCTCTATGACTCGTTAAGTTAGTCAGTTAACGAGTTGTACTTCTGTTGCACCTTGAACATTTTGTGTTTTTTGTCTTCCTGTTTCAGCTGCTGGCTCCTCACCTGCGATACACTCTGGAGATAAACTGTAGGGGGCGCACTCAGCTCATCTCTGATAACGGCATCTTCAAACGGGTCAGATCATGTGATTAAAACTGCCTACCCCAATCAGCTTATAAATCTTTATATCACTTTATAAAACTCTCTTTGTGTGTGTGTGTGTGTGTGTGTGTGTGTGTGTGTGTGTGTGTGTGTGTGTGTGTGTGTGTGTGTGTGTGTGTGTGTCTGTCTGTCTGTCTGTCTGTCTGTCTGTCTGTGTGTGTGTGTGTGTGTGTGTGTGTCTGTCTGTCTGTCTGTGTGTGAGTGTGTGTGTCTGTCTGTCTGTCTGTCTGTCTGTGTGTGTGTGTGTGTGTGTGTGTGTCTGTCTGTCTGTCTGTCTGTCTGTCTCTGTGTGTGTGTGTGTGTGTGTGTGTGTGTGTGTGTGTGTGTGTGTGTGTGTGTGTGTGTGTGTGTGTTTTTCTGTGTGTCTGTGTGTGATCAGGTGGTGTCCACAGGTGGGAAGGTCTGTTGGTTCTGTCACAGAGGGAGTATCAGGTGCTGACGTATCGCTCACTGCAGCCTCGATACGACTTCACAGACAGAGGAGTGACCCGATTGGACAAATACCACTACAGAGAGCACAGCCTGCTGCTGTGGGACGCCATACACAGGTACACACACACACACATACACAGGTAAACCACATACACTCACCATTACCATGAGACGAATGTCCCTCATGTTTGTCTCAGGTTTGTCTCTGTCCCTCAGGTTTGTCTCATGTGTTGTCTCTGTCTCTCTGGTTTGTCTCTGTGTTGTCTCTGTCTCTCAGGTTTGTCTCAGGTGTTGTCTCTGTCCCTCAGGTTTGTCTCATGTGTTGTCTCTGTCTCTCAGGTTTGTCTCTGTGTTGTCTCTGTCTCTCAGGTTTGTCTCAGGTGTTGTCTCTGTCCCTCAGGTTTGTCTCTGTCTCTCAGGTTTGTCTCCTGTGTTGTCTCTGTCTCTCAGGTTTGTCTCTGTCACTCAGGTTTGTCTCTGTCTCTCAGGTTTGTCTCTGTGTTGTCTCTGTCTCTCAGGTTTGTCTCTGTCACTCAGGTTTGTCTCTGTCTCTCAGGTTTGTCTCTGTGTTGTCTCTGTCTCTCAGGTTTGTCTCAGGTGTTGTCTCTGTCCCTCAGGTTTGTCTCTGTCACTCAGGTTTGTCTCTGTCTCTCATGTTTGTCTCTGTGTTGTCTCTGTCCCTCAGGTTTGTCTCAGGTGTGGTGGACCTGTATTACCTGTCAGATCAGGATGTTGAGGAAGATCTTGAACTGCAGGCATGGATCAGAGACATCACTCAGGAAGGATTCACAGAGCTCCCAAACTTTGGTCAGTCATTCTTTTACCTTCTGTATCTGATGCTGAATGTCCAGGATGAAGTGTCACATCCAAAGTTACTTGTTAATGGTTTATATTAAAGTTTGGGCAAATTAAGGAAACATAAAGGTTAAGTTCAGCTTCTTTTATAGATAGTAGAAAGAAAATAGTTTAGTCCTATTTCAAACCAAATGAATGGTCGTGATGGATGGACGCCCCATATAAGCACAGCTGACTTCATACGATGATGCAGAATTAATGACACACACACATATATATAATATCAGTGTTTGTTGTGATGAATGATGGTGTTCTGTTCAGGTCTGAGCAGTAAACTGAACAGCAGAGAAGAGGTCTACACGTTGCTTTCAGTCGTAATCTTTATCAGCACGGCTCAACACGCCGCGACAAACAACGGACAGGTGAACACAAACACACACACTCTGTTTTCATACCAGAGTTTTTTTAAATAACCTTTATTTAGAGCGTTAATCTCACAGAGACGCTTTGATTCACTATTCTTCTAAAGAGTTTCACATCCTCTGTCTCTCACTCTGTGTCTCTCTGTCGGGGTGTTTAAAGTTCGACTGGTGCGCCTGGGTCCCAAACACCCCTGCACATGAGACACCCCCCACCCACGGACAAGGATGCTGTGTACCATGGAGATGATCATGGACACCCTCCCTGATGTGAGCCAATCGTGTGTTCAGATGGCGATCACCTGGCACCTGGGACGAGCTCAGCCGGACGCTGTGAGTTTCTCTGTGTCAACTGACATTGGTTTCTAAGACATGATGTAAAGTTTCAAACATCAAATCGTTCTGAAGCAAACGGCTCTGCAGAGTCACCTATAACTCTACAACTAAAGTGTAAGAAAAGGAAGGAGGCTGACGAGGACACGTTAGAGATGTTTAAAATGACTCAGAGTCTGATGAATAGTTTGTTTTTGGGATGTTTTCTCCCTCTAAAGAAATGTGTCTACGTAACAAAGATATCCCGTTTCATTTTGAAACAGGACCTTCTTGCAATGTCGAGGAATTGTGGAAAAATCAGAGATGAGATTCACTAAAGGACTGATCAGCCTTTGAACCTGTAAACACGTCAAAAAGTCACTAAAGGGTTAAATGTTTCTCCTCTTCCTCCTCCTCTCATCTCCTCTTACTCCTCCTCCTGTTCTCCTCCCTCCTGTAGATCCTCTGGGTCAGTACACCGAGGAGCACTTCACTGAGGGGCGGGCTCAGCAGGTGATGACAGATTCAGGATGGAGCTGAAGGAGATTGAGGAGCACATTCGGAGTGAGAACGAAGGGGCGGAGCTTCAGTACCTTACTGCTGCGAGCCGCATCGAGAACAGCATCACTATATAACACACACATGCAGACAGCCTGTCATCACTCTCTCCAGCTCCTCCCCCTTTTCCAAATATGTCACGTATCTGTAGTATTTAAGCAACGCACGCTCTCTATTGGTTAAAAGATGATCAGTGAAGTATTAATAAAGTTTATAAATGTTAAACATGTCTCATGTATTTTGTTTCATGAAATTTCAAATCAAATCACTTTGATTAAAAACATGAAGCGATTGCCAATAGGGTTGTTGCTCTATTCTGGAACGATATCTTTTTATAATGTTTGTACAGATTTTATTCATTAGAAGAATAAACGACTTCTTTTTCCTGCGCTGACTTTCATTTACAAACGATGCTGCAACGCTTCACCAGGCAACAAGAATTATCAGACGGGGGCCACCTTAAGGGGTTTCTGCTATTGAAAACTTTCAGATTTTGAGCCATTGTTGTAAAGCGGCTGCAGCGCCTCTGACTACAACTCCGCCCCTAGAAAAGATAACCAATCGGGGTCCTTTTCCAAAACATCTGGAGTCCTTTGATCCGTTATCCGGTGAGGACAGATCGCCCTCTGGTGGTCACAGGTTGTAACTGTAGTCATGTCATCATTCTTTATTACAAGTTTAATGAATCTGTAATTCGTTTTTCTGTCCTTCATTTGTTTGAAACGATGTCGCTGTATGGAAAGCCCTTTTAACATGATTAGCGGTAATAGCACATGTAGCCGACATATGAACTTAATACTTATAGCAATAAGTAAGGTCTTTTACCTGCTTTTTGTAAAGTGTCTCGAGATTACACTTGTTATGAGTTGACGCTATACAAATAAAATTGATTGATTGATTGCATACACTTTTTATTGTTTGAAACTGTGACCATGAAATCAACGTTTCATCACATCCAATCACAGACGTTTCTCAGCTTATTCAAAGAAGCGACACCTGAATAAATTACATCAAACACATTCCTGTTACAGTGCAGACGACTCATCATTTATGAATAGTTTTTCTACAATCCTCTTCATCTTTCAATCCGCTCGCTCAGCGATCAGCGCCTTTAACCAGCAGTCAGCCTCCAGGCCAGCAGGGGCGCTAATGCACCAGGTAATCCTACAGAACAACAAGGAGAACACGGTCAGTCAGTCATTTTCGACCTCACATCAAAAGATAAGAATCACATCGTGGTGGAATGACCTTCCGCTTGTTGAGTTTCATCTGGCAAAACGAAAACGATCCAAAGAAGACGTAGATGGCGGCGGCGATGATGCAGTTATACCCGACTTTATCGTAGAGCTCGTAGATCTTCTGAGGATTACTGAAGGGAGAAAACATACACTGTCAAAAACACAACTAAAACAAACACGCTCCGCCTGTGTGATGTCATAAAGTGACCCCCCTCGGGGTCAAAGGCCAACACGTACGAATATTTAAAGATCTTACTCCTGGTGAATGTCTGCCTCTTCAAACGGCACGTCTTCGATCAGCACGGCTGAGTGAGTGATGAAGAAAATCCCCAACATGGACTGAGGAGGACCAGGGAGACCAGGACCAGGGAGACCAGGAGGAAGAGGAGGGAGACCGGGGAGACCAGGACGAGGGACACCAGGAGGAAGAGGAGGGAGACCAGGAGACGAGGGATAAGAAATCACAACTTTAAGTGTTTAAAAATATTCATAAAGTGTTAAAGTAAAAATACAAACTATCACGAGAGGAACGTTTTATTATTTTAATCTCAAAATAATTTATTTTAATTCAAATGTTTTCTCTTTAAAGTAGTTTCTAGTATTTTTCCTGCAGATATCATAAAACACCGGAAAGGACTTTATTTATAACTGAGTTTATTTCACAGTTCAGGTAAAAGCTCAGTTTAAAGCTGATTTACAAAGAAGGAAACCATTACAGGAAGTGCTTTGTTTGCGTTCACTTTAATGTTTTCATTAATTTAGAACTCAGTGAAATTAAAGGAAAAAATGGAATCGTGTTTCCTAGTTTAGTTTATTTTTACAGTCTATGGTTTAGATTCAGTTTAATAGCCGGTGTTGTGCTGTAAACGGTTACCGTGTTAACTGGAGACCTCTGAATGTCTCTTAGTTCCGTTACTTATTAAAGAATATTTGTTTATTATAATTAATCATTAAACACAGAGGCATGTGTCAGGAAGCTTTTCAAACAAGTGTTTTATCAGATAACCACAGACTCATTCGGCAGGAAGTCACCATTTAACACGGTCACATATTCTACTGTAACACCAGCTCTTATCCTTAAGTCTATGGTTTGATATGAAATAAACTCACCAGCATGATGACTCCCCACAGACTCAGCACAAGCCCACAGGCGGCGAGTTTGGGTCCACAGATCAGCCCGCGCATCGTCCAATCATCAAACTTATTAAACTTTATTAAATTAACTTCTGAGGAACGCAAAGTTACTCGCGCTGCTATGAGTCGTCTTTACTGGTCACGTGTCTGTCACCTGGTCAGTCAGGTGACCGTGAATGGACACCGGAAGTGTCCGGATATAAAAAAAAAAAAGTTTCGAAAAACTTTTTAGACTTTTTCCCTCCAAAATGTAATTTACACTAAAGAGATATATTAGAAACTCAAACAATATTTAAAACGAATTCTTTATAAAATGTTCAAACAGAAGTATGAACTGTGAAATAAGCAGGGGGTCTAAATACTTAGTGGTCTGAACTTATGAGTTATCATGAAAATAAGATAAATGAGTGTCCTTCAAAATAAGATGCGACTTTACAGCTTTGTTGCTCTTCACAGATTTAATGGAAGTCCTCTCTGGGATTAATAAATTATATCAAATCAAATCAAAAAGTCAATTGTTTGTTGTTTTCAACAATAAAACGATGAAAGCAAAGTTTCGAGTTGAAACCTATTTTATTATTTAAATCAGAATCGAAAACAAGTTTTAAACTAACATTTACAGTCTATGGTTTTAAATTAAGAAAATTACACATCTGTGATTTAATCAAAGGCCAATAAACACGATAAAACGTCTTTAATCACGTCTGACCGATTTTACTGGTGTAATAAACATTTCTCGTCTTTAAGATGTAAAATAAAGATAACTGTCCATTATTTATACAAATATTAAAAAATATATATTTTTTAAACATATAATTTCTGTTTAACAGGAATACAAATATTCTTTGAAACCAATGGTAGTTAGCCTTTAGCATGGTTAGTTACACTGCTAGTTAAAGTGTTTATAGAAGCTGAATTTATTGTTACTGGTTTGATTTTCAGTTTCTGTAACAGTTGTGACGTATTTTTAACATCACACCATCAGTTTGCTGTCTGTAAATAAATCGTCTGAGTGAGAAATTCTAATTATTCGTCCCAAACTCTGGTATGTACGGCTGCACGTGAAGGCGGCATGTTTTGATACTATGCTACTTCAGGCACTGTTGGATACAGGAGGCGTAATTCCTACATTTCGTGAGTGATGTGACCGTGATATATATATCCGGGCACGAAAAAATTGTTTCTGTAATCTGATCTGAAGGAGACACGTTGAATATCATTTAGTTAAACACAATCAATTCCTAAACTCGGAGTCAATCCAAGTTATCTTCACAATTATTTTTTGTCGTTGTTTGGTTATTTTTCCATCTTTAATCGAGTAAATGTCAATAACTGTATTTTCGACCTGGAACTGTTTTCAGTTCTGTCTCACCAGAGCTTTACAATAGTCTCACTCCTTCTCCCTCACAATAGATATTATTACTGATCATCGGGATTACGAGGATGCCTGAACGCAGCACCGTTGTGTTCAGTGCGCGGCTTGAACACTCTGTTATCTAAAATAATGAAGCTAACGAAGCTAATGGCGCTAATGTAGCTGATGGAGCTGTTATAATCCTCCGCAGATCAAACTGTAACAGGGTTATTTAGCAGACTGTTTGGACGTTTCCAGGCAACGACATTAAAACGTACATTTAAAGCTACTCTGCTGACGTTCACTACCTACATGCTACACAGATTAGCTGCTATGTTAGCATGTTAACGACAGCTTCGGTAAACATGAAGATTTTTTAAAGGAATAAACATTTAGTGTTTCATTAGAGATCATCAACATGACGTCCGCTTCTACTAAAGTAAGTCCAGTCTGATGTGTTTATAATGCAATGAATACAAAATAACGTAAATAATAATAACCTCCCGTTAATCCATCACAACACACCCCATCACTGAATATATAAATATATATTATATATATATATATATATATATATATATCGTCTGTTCCTCCTTCTGGTTTAATTATCCTTCTGACCACAGTTCATTTAACGATTCATAACAAATAGGGACGTAATTCATCATAACACCGGGAGTTAACCTGCTTCTGTATCCGATCACTGACAGAAGGAGACTCGGGTATCAACAGGAAGTATTTGATGACTAATGAGTTGTAGGAAGTGATTTTCTCTGTAATTAATTGAGCTCTGCTTAAATATCAGCTGAACTCTGTCACACTCTCTGGACAAAGATGTTCAAATAAGATAATTAGTCGATAATGTATTGTGTTCTGTGTTTTTGATGATGAAATACTTGTTATTAACCTTTGTTTTAAACTTTGTGGTTTCCTCTTCACTTTTAATTCATGTTTTAATGACGTCATCATCGTCTTTTATTCTGTACTATTCGTTGTTTTGTGTGTGTGTGTGTGTGTGTGTGTGTGTGTGTGTGTGTGTGTGTGTGTGTGTGTGTGTGTGTGTGTGTGTGTGTGTGTGTGTGTGTGTGTGTGTGTGTGTGTGTGTGTGTGTGTGTGTGTGTGTGTGTAGGTTGGAGAGATCTTCTCAGCAGCTGGCGCTGCCTTCACTAAACTCGGAGAGCTCACCATGCAGCTCCACCCTGTGGCAGACTCCAGTCCTGCAGGGTAATACACACATAAACACACATACACACACACACACACACACACACACACATATTATGATGGCGCTGACATTTAAACAGATGAGAGCAGATCAACACTGACTGCAGTAATGAGGTACACACACAGAACCATGACAGTTAAATTAAATATTTGAATGAACTTGATTTTCCGTATTTTCCTGCAGCGGTCAGACGAAGAGCGCCGTGAAGAGGAAGCTGTATGAAGACGGAGCTCCGCCGCCTGAAGGACCAAAGAAGTCTGTGAAAAAAACTGCTGTAACGCCAGGTCCTCCGACCATCATCTCCGTCCCCACGGCCAAGGTGGTGGTGACGCCCGGTCTTCAGAGTACCCCCAACAACAACAACCAGCAACCCCTGAAGAAACCCAAAACTGCAGGTGAGTTGACTGAGCGTCATCAGAACTTGAACCTGACTCTCCTGTATTCTGACTGACGCTGTTTCACCCGCTGAGATCGTCCCAACGCAGGCAGAAGTTCCACCTTAAACCTCACACCTCACTCTGAGAGGGTGTGGTGTCCTCTCTAGAGTCCGGTTGTCATGGTGATGGTGTTCTAAAGGTTTGATAGATTGGGGAATGAGGAGGAGCAGATTGGTTTTAGTGGTTGTCATGGTGACAGCAGTGTGTTCCCTCTGATCGATTACGTCCCTCAGAAGTGTTTGACGACTTTGTTTTGACTCCTGCTTTAGTTTTCCACGAGCCCAGATCGTCCAATCACAGAGGACCGTTAAATGACCTGATGTTGTAGTTACAGATGTCACCACTAGATGTCACTGTAGTCATTGTTCACTAGCTGTAGATGAAGGCAAACATTAGAGTTTGTGTTTGTGGGTGAACGTTGGTGAACAGAAGTTATTTTAGAAACACTGGAACAAACACTGCTCTCTGATTGGTCACATTCAGAGACGAGAGGAAACACAGAAACAAACACTTCAAGGAGACAAATGCTGCTCTCTGATTGGTCACAATAAGTTCAAACTTCTGCGTGTGGTTTAATGTCGACTGCTGACAGAAGAAACTAAACTGGGGGCCCATTTCTGAAAGAAGGTTCAACAGACCCTCAGTCTAACCCTGAGCTCTGAGTTGATTTACTCTCAGGTGGGAAACTCTGAGAGAGAGTGGGGAGTGACATGCGGGAAAGGAGCCCCAAGCTGGACCCCAAGCTGGACCCCAACCCGGGCCGCCCGCCTGGAAGACCACAGCCTCCATACACGGGGCGCGCACCAACCACTGCGCCACCAGCACCCCAGGCTCATATAGTTTTTAAGTTAACTTCATTCAGAGTCTATTTGAATGTGCATTAACTTTTTCCCCAACATAATGCTGTATTCACACACATAGGCTAAATGTCCTCTCACCTTTACCCCATTTAGTTTCTTAATTAACCCTAATTAAATTAACATCTCCCGACGTTAATGTAGGCTCTAATTCCCTGCGGAGTAATGTAGCCCCTTCATAACGAGGCTCGACTAAAAGACGCCATGTTCGATAAAATAGTTTGTCGCTGTAGTATTGCCATCCTAACATATCATATTAAAACAACTTGGATTTTTATTCAGACAAACGGTGAATCTTCACTAACACGGCGTGATACGGACCGAATGAAAGAATGAGGAAATGAAACAGCGTTTCTGGCTCTAAAAGAGGGCGGAGTCAGAGAGAAACTCTGGGTTCACTGAAGAAAACCTGCACTCGACCAGGTTAGGTTCACAGACTCAGTTACCATAGTAACTGACTCAGAGGTAAAGTAACCTCACCCTCTGGAACGGGCTGGAGTTACCCCTCTTTCTCTCTCGGGTTTGAGTGACCTCCTCTTCTGAAAAGGAAAACCCAGAGTTTCCATCATTTCAGGGTTAATGGACTCAGAGTTTGTACAAAACCTTCTTTCAGAAACGGGCCCCTTACCTGAATGTTTGTTTATTTGAATGTTTGTTTATTGTTTATGCGGTATATCTTTCTCTCTGTGTGCAGACGTGACTCTGAGCGCTCTGAATGACTCGGACGTGAACAGTGACCTGGTCGACATGGAGGGACTCGGAGACGGGTCCAAGTCCAAAAAACTGAACTTTGATCAAGGTCAGTCTCCATTTATCTTCATCATCATCTTCATCAGTGACAACCCTGGCTCACCCTGAAACATTCTTTAATTCGACAGATCATGTTTTTACAGTTTAGTAAAGTTTTTATCCAAAAAGATAATTTCAGTCAAATGAACTCGTCATCGCGGTGTTGACCAGCGTCGTTACCTCGACGTAACGAGAAGTCGAGATGACTTCGCTATCACGTTGGGACCAAGTCAAATGAAATTAACTGATGTTTGTCCGCTTAGGGCTGCAGTAGACGACCACAGACAGGAAGTCAGAGATTTTAAGAAAATAAAAGTGGTCTGATTTTGTTATATTTATGTTAATAATAATAATAATAATAATAATAGTGTTTCCTGTTCCTGTTTGTGTCTCTGTAGATAACCTGAACCTGGACTCCTCACTCATCATGAACCCTGGTGACCTCCCACTGCTCTCACACTGACCTTTCACCGCCTGTGCTCAACCCTTTCAAAATAAGAGTTTCTAGATGTGATGAACTGTTGAATCCACGGAGACTCATCAGCCCTGTTTTATTTTGACTTTTATTTTGAAGGAAATCATCATCAATAAAAACAGACTGAACGATGGAAGACTCGATGCAGCAGAGGAACTCCACAAGATGAAAAACTCTTCAAACCTTCGAGGACGAGGATTAAAAATCAGAAACATGAAACGTCTGTCATGTTGTGTTAGTCTTATTTTTGTAGGCGTTAATCGGAAATAAAAGGATTAACGAGTGTACGTTTGTTTCCTGTAAGTTTTCAGTGTGAAAGTCTGAATTTGTACTTCTAAACATGTTGAAGTGTTAAAACAAACACTAACAATGAACAGACTGGATTCATATATTTGTCACGGTATTATTTATCATCCGACCATTTGCGGGTTGCCATGGCAGCAGGTGAGGTACGTCAACCCACACTTCTCTCCTCAGCAACATTTTCCAGCTCCTCCTCCGGGGGGATTCTGAGGCGTTCCCAGGACAGCAGGGTATATAATCCCTCCAGCAGACTCTGGCTCTCCTTCCAGTTAGGTGTGTCCAGAAAACCTCCAAACAGAGGCGTCAAGGAAGAACCTAATAACACAGCCACCTCCACTGTCTGTGTGTGTGTGTGTGTGTGTGTGTGTGTGTGTAGAAAACGACGTACATACCTATGTCGAAAAAATAAAAGAGACATACATACCTATGGCAAGATAAAACGACATACACCTATGGCGAAAAAATAAAAAAAACGACGTTGTAAAAAGGACATGCACACCTATGTCGAAAAAAAAAAAAACACGATGGCGAAAGAATAAAAAAACAACATGCATACCTATGGCGAAAAAAACGACCTACACACCTATGTCGAAAAAAGACAAAAAAAACGGCATACATACCTTCCTACATACACCATCAAACCCCTGCAGATGATCCTAAACACAGCAGCGCGACTGGTCTTCAACCTCTAACACAGCACATGTCACTCCGCTGTTCACCTCCCTCCACTGGCTCCCGGTTACTGCTCACATCAAATTTTAAACTCTGCTGCTCGCTTACAAAACAAACAAAAACGGCTCCTCCTTACCTAAACTCTCTCATCCAAGTCTACACAGATAAAATGTGTTTTTGTAACGCGGAAAAATAACTGCAAACGTGTTTATTCTCTGCTTCTGTACACGAGGAAAGTAAAAAAAAAACACAATTATTTTATATAATTCCCATCACTTGAGTCATTTCTTCGGTTATTGTGAAAATGTTTCTATCCACGGACTCGAATCTTTAGAGATCAGATTCTCTATTTCATTAAATATATTTTCAAATATTATTCATCAAATATTCACATAAAAGGTGGTGTCATCAACCAAGAGGATAACATTTGGAATATAAAAGTTAATTGTTTTATAATTAAAAAGCAGAGGACCTAATATTGATCGCTGAGCGACGCCTTCACAGATTAAGATTAACGTTAAATAAAAAACTAAACATTTGGGATGAATTACATTTTATTTAATGTTTCTTAAACATACCTCATTCCAGTTTCCAACATGTTACGCAGTATGTGAGGGATGAATGTGATAAAACAAAAACAAGATGAGAAACTGTGTGACGACTTTTATTCAGCATTCATCAGGAGAAACAAGAACAGAGAGCGGTGAGCACAGGCTGGTTAACAAACAACAAACAAACATTTGTACAAAATATATATAAAAAAAGATTCTAATAATTAATCATTTAAATTTTTCTGGGCCATTTTTGCTCTTATAAGAGAGGACAGCTGAAAAGAGACTGGAAGTGTACGGTGGAGAGAGGGCGGGGGACGACATGCAGAAAAGGGTCAAGGTCAGATTCGGACCCCCGGCCGTTGTGGTGAGTTCATAGCCTCCATGGGGCACGGGACATAATGGCTAGGATCTCCGGCGCCCCACAGAGGTTATAATATTGATAATATTCAAAGTGGGGGTAATAATCATGAAAGCTAAAACAAAGATGATAGAGTAGCTTAAGCTTTATTTAATCAAAGTCATTCTCAGAGATCATAATATGTTTGTGATGATGAAGATGATGATGAAGAGGAGTGTGTGTCAGACAGCAGCAGCACACACACACCGGTAACACACACACAGAAGTACCAGTAATGATGTGCTGCTACAGACGGACACACAGAGCTCAGAAACATTCGGACAAAAACTTTGGATGTCAGGATCTTCTTGAAAACTGCGTCAGTGGGTTTGAAAGACATGGATGACCTCTGACCTTCACCAGGATGACCAGTAGATGACCTCTGACCTTCACCAGGACGACCAGTAGATGACCTCTGACCTTCACCAGAATGACTAGTGGATGACCTCTGACCTTCACCAGGACGAACAAGACTGTTGATAGGTTGTCGCTCCCAGAGATCGCAGTGACAGCACGTCATGATTTGAAGATTAAACAGAACTGCAAAACATGATGTGCTGCTAGAGCGAAACTGGACACAAATAACGTTCATACAGACACTTTAATTATCTACGGTGAGCCTAAAGGGACAAAACAATGTGAGATTAAAAAAGATGAATGCATTCATTTCAGACCGATGTTTTTAAATCTATACTGAAAGACATGGAAGCAGATTCTACAGGACATCGATGTTTTAGCTCGACTGTTTGACCAACTGACTTCCAGATTTGACTCATTGATGGTTTTTCCATTTTAATCCAAAATGTGTTGTTTTGTAAATTGAACTTTGTGTTTCTGCTGCTGCCTGTCTTGGCCAGGTCTCCCTTGAAAAATAGGTTAATCTCAATGGGACCAACCTGGTTAAATAAAGGTTAAATAAAATAAATAAAAAGACCTTCATTAATTGTGATGAACTAGTTCATGCTGACAGATGAAGATTGCAGACAGTCTCACCTGATGAACGTCTGTAAAGAGAAGAAGAGAGAGAAGTTCAGTCTCATCAGAATGAATCAGATTCTTTCACTTCTTTTTGTCTCATTAGGGTCAGAATGTGAATCTGCTGACTCATCGTTAGACGTGTTTAAAGAAACCTTCTCCACTCTGACATATTCAAACATTAAACTCTTCTTTAACTGGAATCATGACCCGGGCGCCACCAGAGGTTATGGCCCCTTGGAAAATGATCTCAGTGGGCCCCACAGATGACCACACAGCTCATATCGTCCCCTGCTGGTTGCTATAATCAAACCTCCATGATGAAGCAAAATATCTATAAATACACTCTAAATCCCTCTTAACGACGTGTGAGCATTAAACTGAGGATTATTATTTGTTAAGGCCGCTGTCAATCACGAACCCTTAACCTCGAGGATACTTGCTTTTAACCCTGTTTACGTGAACTCATGACATCAGCCTCACGTATCGTGCGGTGGTTTGGAGCGATGAGTGTGCTGAATTATGATTCAAAAGAGTCCAGAAACTTTCCTCAAGTGAAAGTCGGTAGCATCATAATGTCTAACTCGAGATCTGAGTCTAGAGATCGGAGCGATCCGATCTTTGAAGTCAGTCAAACCGTCTCTGAACTTTAAGAAGTCTGTCTGATCCATGGCGTTTATTCTGACGGAGTCTAAAAGAGTGAAAAACTGCCACATCAAGTAAAGAAAGTTTGATTCATCTTACAGTGAAGGAACTCTGATAACAAAATGATGAAAATAAAAAATCATTCTCTGCAAATTAAATATTTTCAAAGTAAAAGAAGGTTTCTTGAGAATTTGGACAAATCATGTCCCATACAAACAAGAGATCACTAACAAACTCACTTATCCTTCTTTTTAAATGGAAATATCTTCTTATTTGAAACAAACATGTAAAACCAAATGTTGCTTTTGATTTAATTTCTTTTAATGTCTAAACAGCCCTACACAAGGTAACACCCCCATCCCAGACAACTATTTCAAACCTGAAAAAGGACATATGATCCCCCTGTGGTCTGAATGAAACATCTGTGCTTTGTTCAAAATATAACAAGCACTATTCAAATGCACTGTACATGCACTGGCAGTATGAATCAGCTGATCAGTCGTTCGTCACACTCTTCAAACGTGTTCTGACGGTCTGATGCACTCTCTTCTGAAGGCACCGGCTGAAATATCTTTCAGCAGGGCTGGAGCTTTACTATTTCTTAAACGTAAATCACAGTCATGATTGTTCCCTGCATGCTCTCAAATATTCTCAGATTAATCAGATGGTTTTGGTCACAGATGTGATCTTTCATGGCGCTATTGATGGGAGTGGTCGACGATTAGATTTCAGATTTTAGATGAAAGAATAATAAGGATGAAAAGGCATCATGCTTATTTAATACATTTAGTCAAAATATTTTTTTAATATATACCGTATATATAAATATATATTTTTTTAAATATCTATATATTTTTTTTACTGAATGTATATTTAATATGTCGTGCATTTAGTTAACCTGCAGGCATCAGTTTAATTTACTACCCTCTTAAGTCACTAAGGACAAAAATGTCCACTTCCAAAAAACTGCTATAAAAATAGAACAGATTGATATTTTCTTCTACTTTTTTCTGTATACATTTCTTAAACAACTCCAGCCCTCAAAACTATCAAATATTAAACAATAATCATGAATTTAACCCTTTAAATGCCAAAATCAAACTGGCATTTAAAGGGTTAAATTCCTGATTATTTTATACATTTATAATTATAAATTACAGTGTTCTATTGATCTATTTAAAAAATAAAATTTGCATTCCAAAATGTGTCAAGAGAGAGAAAATGTTTTCTTACAAAAATATCTGCCATATGCCCTTACACAGCCAAAATGATGGCCAGATAAAGGGGAAACATTTGCCCAAATGGACAAAAATGTCCATAATGATGCATGAGGGTTAAAAATTCTCTTTTTCTGAGAATGCTGGTCAATCATTTGTGCGTACGCCTGGTCTGAGGAACTAAATAAGGTTGATGTTTTATTGATCTTTTGTTTTGGTTAAAGATTTCGAAGGAGCCAGTTGAGGTGGTTTGGGCATCTGTTAAGGATGCCTCCTGGACGCCTCCCTTTAGAGGTTTTCCAGGCACGGCCAACTGGGAGGAGACCCTGGGGCAGACCCAGAATGCGCTGGAGGGATTATATATCCCATCTAGCCTGGGAACGCCTCGGAATCCCCCAGGAGGAGCTGGAAAACGTTGCTCGGGAGAGGGAAGTCTGGGTTGATTTACTGCGCCTGCTACCATCGCGACCCGACCTCGGATAAGCGGAAGAAAATGGATGGATGGATGGATTTGGTTAAAGTGA